ACAGGTCACAGGTCGCAACACAGAGACAAACAACCACTCACACCTAATGGGACATTAGAGAAGCCATAAACAATACAACCTACAGATTTTCCTGATTCCTGTGTAATTTCAGAGCTTTGTTCAAAATCTGGTATTAATAATCTATATGTGACATTTCTATGTGAAAAAAGACATTTAGGTTTGTATTGCTCAATTTTAAATCTGCTTAGACTCAAATCTCCACAAACTTTGCTGCATGTGGTCAGAAAATTCAGTTCCTCTTATTTCATATATTGATTTATGTCATTTAGTCACTATTAAGGTTTTCACTGTTTCACCTGCAAGGCAACACAATTCCCCTGAGTGAGGATGTTTGAAGGCAAGGCATACTTATTCCCATAACAAACCAGATTCTTTCTCAAAGTTTATTCATAACATGTTACTGTTTAACCAAAGTGTGTAATTTGTTCTGACTACTTTCCATGATTGTAAGTAAGGAGGAACGAACGCTGCTGAGGCAGAACAGGGCTGATTACCGTAATAAAGGCCACATGATGAACCGTTTACGTAACTGGAGTAAATAGTTAAAGGCTTTTTTTTCCCACTATATAACATCAGCTCTTTGGTTAGTCCATCAGCTACTCAAGATTGTCAAATTGAAAATTTTATTTATTTATTTAGGTTCCTGTTAATCTGTTATTCTTCACCAGATGTTTTCCTTTTTAACCCATTTATATCATCTGAAACATTTAATGGATGTTCTGTGTATTCTGGTAGATTTGGGAGGAGGACTTCCTGTATGATGAGGACCTTCTGTAGAGAAGGACCAACCCCAGCGTCAGTCTGACTACCTTCCATATCTGCTTCTTCACCCGACACAGCGATCCACACTGTGTGCGATCCGTTCTTGCTTCCAGACCGCCCTCCCCCATCTTCTTTTGAAATAAACTCTATGCGCTTTAGTCTTCCTTTGTCTGACTTCCTGTCTGGCTAAACCAGTCTTAAGAAATGCATGTGCCTTGCTCCATCATCTGTCACGAATAAACTCGATGGTTTTCTCTGCCAGGCCACGAAGAGGAGCTCTCCATCAGGCAGCAGCACCTCTGCGCCGGTGGGAACCTCAGCATCGTCCGGAACAGCTTCTATTTTGGATGGACATAAAAACCCATCGCTGACGATACAAACAAGCAGCTCGCCTTTGATCCTGCGCTAATGTCAGCGGGCAGGAACCAGTGTCTTCTCAGTGGTTTCCCGTTTCCTGTCAGAATGTCCTGCCGCTCTGTTGCAACAAACACAGACTTCCTGTCCGCGCACGGCGCACATCCTCTAACAGCCACCCCACCCCATCCAGGCCTGTCAATCTCTGACGCACAGACACCATGGGAAATACCGCTGTAGGCCTCACGGTTTATCCCAGCGCCAGAAACGTTATGCTAACAGTACGTCTCAGAGGTGGCGACGGAAACGGCAGCCGATCTTAGGAACTCAGTGACAGCGTCAGCGTTCAACACCGTAGTAAAAGGGTTTCATATTCAGGGTAAACCTGCATTATAGGAAAACACTCTGTTAAGGGATTAAATCAGTGCAGAGCAGGGCTGACATCATGTCATCTCCTTCTCTCTTTTTTGGTAAAGAAAATAAATGAATCCATTAATCTCCTTTTATTTAACTGGAATGTACAGTTGAATACCTCTTCCCCACAAAAACATAAAAGTCTCAAAGAAAA